TTTCACAATCACATACTGTACATCATTGTTTGAGGAATAAAATGCAGATAATATTGATACCAAGAAACAAACATTTAGAATAGATTAAACCAAAGATACATACATACACCTGAATATCAGTGTTTAGGGCTTTAACTAATACAAATAACGAGTGGTAACTCAGCTAATCTAATAGGGAAACGTACAAACAACACATGCAATATACCAGATATATTTGTAGAGTATAATAGAGCAACGGTCTTTACGTGTGTGTGTGTGTTTGTGTGTGTGTGTGTGTGTGTGTGTGTGTGTCAGTTTGCTTGGTCAGCCAGGCCCATCGGGGTCATTTACAGCTCTTTGGACAGTGTTTGAAGTCAGATGGGGGAGATGATAGTGGGGGGGACTGGTTAGAATATCCTTGATGGCGAGGAACCATTTGGCAATTTAGACCCCCATACAAACGTAAAGTCTCTGACCAGAACTGTAATTTATATGCAAATGTCAAAAGGCTAAAAGGGTCTCTTAAGCCATAAAACCCCAAAGATCATGCATGATTCTACGCAGACGCTACAATTCACACAGTAGCATGCTAATTTCTCACATACCTTTCATTTTATGTTCTCTGAAGTAAATGTACTATTATGTCTTTTGAATCCAAGTTTGAATAAAACATGTCTTGGCTTTTGTCTTTGGCAGTTTGATTCAGTAATCAGTACAGAGGGTGATGTTAAAAATCTTAAATCTGAAGGTCATACTAAAGAAAAAAATATTGTTTTATTATAAAATTTCATTTAAAATATTAATGGTGTATTTAGGATGCATACATTTCTAGTTATGAAATTAGTCTTAGCTAGACAAAAGAGGTATCTTTTTTCTTCAAAAATTTTTATTTCCACAACAGTGTTATTTTAGTATCACTGAGATAATATTATGGTTTTTATTCATATTTTGAATCGGTATTTATTTTTATATTTTCGGTTTTTCTTTTAATTTTAGTTAAAGTTTCAGTGATTTCGTAGTTTTTGTTTATTTCATATCTATATAGTTTTTATTTCAGTTATAGTTATTTTAGTACATCAAGTTAAATTAAAATAAAATGAGAAATGTTGTAATATATTTTATTTGAATTCTTTTAACATTTATTTAATTTTGTAGTAACATTTTCTTTTTTTATGGTTTCAGTTTTAGTTAAATAACCCTGTTCCACAGAATGCTACAGTATAGGGATGCACCGATATGAAAATTTTGGCCGATACCGATAACCGATTATTCTTTATTTTTGAAAGCCGATAACCGATATGTTGGCCGATAAATCTATATCCAAATTGTTATATACTTTTTGAGAGCCTTATGAAACAAAATCATTAGAGTCATGTTAAAAATTACATTTCTTGATTCAGGAAGATGACAAGCATGTACTGTATGTCCACTGTTGAAGATTGTATTTTCTGAATGTCTACAGGGACAAAATAGTTGAAAATCATCAACCATCAACACCATCTTGAGTCTCATGATGATTCATCATATCTTTTTATTCATGTACAGGTCTGTTTGTCTTCCCCCATTGCATCTCTGAGTAACTGGATGATCATCCTATAGACAAGAGCCTTATTCTATACATTCTCGAGTCTCGACATCAAAGTTAACTTTTCCTGTATTGAAGTTTTAGCCACTGGCTACAGTCTTTTCTCTCTCTGCTTTCTGAACAAATTCCGTCTGTCATTGACCTTTGAACCCTTTTGAGAGCCACACATATTCTACAGCTGGTCTTACAATCACTACACATCAGCAGTTGGGCTCCCATTCCCCGGAGCTTCACCACTTGCCAGTCTATATCACTCTCCATTCACAGCGTTTCAGTGCAGTGCCGTTCCCAGTGGACGCTTTGAGAATGAAACCTGCGTTCTTTAAAGCACATTGTATCTGGTCTTGTTTATGATGTATTATCCACTGTGCATGCATAGATGGAGAGTGCTAGAAATTCAAATTACTATTTTTTTAAAAGTGTTTTTTAGTGTTCCAACACTTTTTGCATAAAACACTATTGTAGAATCATTGTAATGAGAATGTTTGAATCCACTGAATTCAGCAGGAAATGCGTATTGCAAGAATGTAGAGTTTGCAAAAATGACAAAAAGTTTCAAGCTTCTGACATGAGGTGATTCTGTGTGGTTGCTAAGGTGTTCTTAGTATTTTTTTTAATGTGTTGCTATGTGGTTGTTAGCCTAGGTGGTTATTCACTGGCCCAAGTCAAAAGGACATACAAGACTTGCATAATATACAGGATTAGGTATACAATAAATTATTATAGTGAATAATTTATTGAAATAAAACTGAGCAATATAGAATTTGCAATAAATTAATTAAGTCTAAATATTAAGACTAGATATTCAGAAACTAAGACTAAATATTTGTATGGTAATTTAGCAGTTTTACTGTAAAATAAAAGTATTATTTTTCTTATATATACCTGTATATATACTTACATTTCACTACTGGTCATATATTCTCTATATAATCACGTATGTGACAAATAAAAAATCTAATATTTATTATTTTATTTTTAAATGTTCATATTATATTTGATATGTATTCATATATATTATTAAAGTGTAATTATAATTGCTAATAATTGCACCTTTATTCTTCTTCATGTACATATTTTTGCTTATCTCTTACAGGTTCCTCAGATAGTGGATGAACACATACGTGTTTAATTCCTGGTCATTATGACATATCTTCCTCTGTTCTCATTGGACCATCAGGTCAGGATGTTCCGGGTTTTAAGCTGGAGCAACTGTCACTCTACCATATGGCCACGCCTCTTGTGGATTTTGTGGGTGTGGCTAAGCCCATGTTCATCGGTTCACCAGCACTCACACCCACATTCCATCAAAATCCTGGGGGACATCACCTTGGGGGGCCTGTTTCCAGTCCATGCCAGGGGTCCCGCAGGGGTCCCGTGTGGAGAAATAAAGAAGGAGAAAGGAATCCACCGGATGGAAGCCATGCTATACGCACTGGACCAGATCAACAGCGACCCAGAACTACTGCCCAACATTACGCTAGGGGCCCGGATCCTCGATACGTGTTCCAGGGACACTTACGCTCTAGAGCAGTCTCTGACATTTGTCCAGGCCCTCATTCAGAAGGACACATCTGATATACGCTGCTCCAACGGTGAACAACCGATCATACGCAAGCCTGAGCGCGTGGTGGGTGTGATAGGGGCGTCAGGCAGCTCAGTGTCCATCATGGTGGCCAATGTCCTGCGATTGTTTGAGGTGAGAACTCATTTCAAACATATGTGAGTGAGTGAGTGAGTAGCAGGGTTGTGCAAAATTCTGAATTAAAGAATTGGCTCCAACTATCTATCTATCTATCTATCTATCTATCTATTGTTCTTTTGTTTTATGCATCATTCTGTCGTTCTATCTGTCATTCTATCTATCTACCATTCTATCTATCGTTTTATTGTTCTATCTATTGTTCTGTTATTCTCTCTGTCCATGAGGATGATTAAACATTATGATAATTAAAACATTAGAATGATTAAAAGAAAAAAAGAAAAAAAAACAATTAAATATAAATTTGAAAAATTGTTATATGAATTTCTTTGAATGTCAGTTCATCTTAATTGTATTTATACCTTACATTCAAACTTGAATTGCAGTTCTGCATCTTGTTTGCTACCTCATTTCAAATTCAGGAATTGATTTGGAATGTAAAAGGTATTCTTGATTCAGTTCTAAATGACACAGCCCTTGTATATACAGTATGTGTATTTTCTTCAGCGTACAGTGATTTCAACAGGTACGACATGTTTCTGGATCAACATCCTTGTTGGTTTTGGAAATACACTCTGGAATTCCTGGAACAACAACAAATGAGGCATTTGGTTTTTACATATAATTTTAAGTTTACATCAACCTGTCATTTCACTTTGATTGTAGGGGTAGTTTTAGGACTATGTCTGATTGTGTGATTTTCACACTGACTGAACCTATAGTTTTTATTCTTTTGTACACCCTTACCTTTGTGTTTGCCCCGCCATACCAGCCAATCTGTTTTAAAATGGACAGGATCTCAATGCCTATGGGCCAGGACCTCGCGTTAATTGACAAGGAGGATTAGAGAGAGCAGCTAATCATGTTGTCAGCCTTTAGCTCTCTGGTATCCCATAGGCTTTTGAATATTAGTTCTGCTTTGTCCTAAATCCAGCAAGCATTTAGGCTGATTTTTATTCCCTACAGCTGTGGATTCTCATTCTCTGCAGTTGTTTTTACCAAACTTTCAATGCTCAAATGTTGTTCATTTGTTCATACTGCATTCTGTGCTTGTGGAATTTTAATGGGAAGGCTTGGATAACTCACGACTGGACCACATGAACACTGGGCAGGCGTTACACAGCTCCACGTGTTGTGGCGGCCAATGTTTAATCTGCATCTCGAAATGCCAACCTCCCTCGATGCTTGCCATGGTGGAAATGATCATTGCATATCATATTCACTTTGAGTAGCAATCATATTTAGTGATCTTCATCCAAACATGCAGAGCTTTATAACACTGTGCCAATTATTTTTTTTTTTTTGCATCTTTGAACTAACTTTACTCTGTCATTATTGTGGCAACTGCTTATTATGTTAAAAATGTTGTCCTTACAGTGGCAGTTAATGGTTTGGAATAATTTTAATGTTTTTTAAAAGAAGTCTCTTATGCTTACCAAGGCTGCATTTTTTTGAGCAAAAATGCTGTAAAAACAGTAATATTGTGAACATTTTTTTACAATGAAAATTAACTGTGTTCTATTTGAATATATTTTAAAATATAATTTATTCCTGTGATGCAAAGCTGAATTTTCAGCATCATTACTCCAGTCTTCAGTGTCACATGATCTTTCAGAAATCCTTCTGATATGCTGATTTGCTGCTCAAGAAACATTTCTTATGATTTTTAAAAAAAATTCAGCTTTCCCATCACAGGAATAAATTATATCCTAAAATATATTAAAATGGAAAATGGATATTTAAAATCGCAATAAAATTTCACAATATTACTGTTTTTACTGTATTTCTGATCAAATAAATGCAGCCTTGGTGACATCTTTCAAAAACATTAAACACCTTTGACCCCTAGTGTAGACTTTAACCCCCCATGACCTCTTATCATCTCAGCCTAATAATAAATGCTAAACATTTCCTGTAAGTAAATCTTGCCTATGCACGAGTGAACTTGTGACTCCGAGTGTCCAATCTGCTTGTCTGAAAAATGGCGAGTACATCATTGTTGGATCAAGATAGGAGAGCACATTTGTGTAATAAGCATTTTTTGGCAACCGCAAGCATTTGTGATCGGACTTCTACACACAACAAAGCACAAAACCCATGCACACAAGTGTGAACAACTATCCTTTATTCGTCCTGAAACGGCTCCAACTTTCTCCCAAGAGGATCATACTTGGTGGCTCCCTCATATATTGCAGTATTAGGCTCGTCTGAGAACACATGGCATGGACACCCTGCCTGGGAACGAGGGAATCTCTGTGACGAATGGTGTGGTTTGCTCCCCTAGTGTAAGCTTTTTTGTAAAGGCTATCTTGTTCCCTATATCCTCGGGTTCCACAGGACTAAGATCCCTTCCTACATGGTTCTTATGTTTGAAATGAGAAGCGGACATATTGTTCTGAGAGCATGTAGAGAGTTTTTTCCTCTTTTGTGAGGCAAAAGGGATCTTGATTTTATGAGAGTCGACCGAGTGACAGACTAATAAAGCTTTTTTTAGCTGTTCTCTAATGGAACAAGACAACAGATTCAGAGGGCTTCTATATGTCGTCTACGCTTCGGTGTACACTGGTTAAGACTCCAAGAGAAGCTGATTGTATGTCATAATACAATTTGAGCTCCCTTAGCCCGTCTGCGGTGCATTATTGAGCTGTAAAGAGCCCTTACTTCATTTTGCAAACAAAGGCTGTGATGATCGCTGATTGATCTTAATATAATTGCTTTGACAAAACAATGTTCAAGAGAGACTCGCGGGAAAGAAAACCCAAGATTCTTTTTAATATCTCACTTGATTCTTCTATGAAGCAGTGTAGAGCAAATGGAGATTTCTGCTTTGCTTCTGCTTAGTTTGTGATCGCAGATACGATCTAAACCATCTCTCCAAATGATCTGAGGTACTCTCTACATTCATTTTACAGATTTATACACTTGAGGTGCTTAAAAATGGACCTGTTTTGTCTTTTTATTTCACCAAAGGAATTTTAGGAGAGGATGAAGTTGAGTAAGCATTTGGCACAGTGGTGGGGACACAAACCTGTAATGTCAGATTAAAATGATCGCATGAATGCGGAGGCCTCACATGTTTCTTTGTGATTGATCGAAGAAAAAAATACTGCTTTATTGTTTCCTAAATCCAGCATTTCCAGTTCACAGTTGTCATGGAAATGTTGTAGTCTCATTAACAGGGCCATTGCTAAGCCACTCTGTTGATTTCTGCCCTTGTCAAATGCATATTTACATGTTTTAGGTGATCCCATAAGCTGGTTACGACAAAATATCAAAGGCATCGTTGTATATTCAAATATATAACTGTGTATTGTGAAACCGATGAACATGACAGGCAGAAATGCCTTCAAACCAGAAAAATCACAATAAAATACATCAGGCAAAATGGCTTTTTTGCCATGATAATGGTGTAGTTATGGCACTGATATGTAGTTTTTGGACACATTTTATTCTTTGAAGTATGTGAGGGAACTGCAGAGGGTTTGTGAGTTGATAAAAAGGTAATAATTAATTATATTGAATGTAAAATTAAAATAAATAAATCAGACTAATCGCAATATTATCTTAGTGTGATTATCAAATCAAAGGTTGCAATTTAATTAAATAACTAGTCTGTTGCATTTTGTTATTATAATTATTAAATCATTTTTTATTATTATTAAATCATTTTTATTTTATTTTTTATTTACAACAGTAATATATTTCTGTTGTCATTTTTATAATTAGAATTTAAAATAATACTGCCACCACTACTACTACTACTACTATTAATAATAATAATTGTGTAGGTACAAATGTGTAGTTACATTTTTGAAATATTAACTTAAAATCTCAGGGGGTCTTTAAAGTAAATATTTTACATCTAAGGGGTTCGGCTGTCTTGAATATGAATACAGTACCATAGTATAATGGTTTTACTATATAATTCCATCACAGTACCATAGTACCACTACAGTACATGATTAGCATACAGATCAGGTCACAATGTCACGTTTCTTTATTTAATTATTTCAAATCGATTGAAATTCAAATTTTTATTTAAAAAACACAAAAACTGTGAAGTGCATTTCAATTTCACAGGAAGTTATCCCATTGTGCTGTTGTAAATGACAGAAAGGTGTTAGACAATAGGCTGTGTCTGTGGGGACAGCTGTCTGTAGCCAACCCTCTAATTAAACACACGTGGAATAAAGTCTGAAACGAATGCGGAACAAAAGCAGTGGTACAGTGGATCTTCATTAACTGGACCTTTTTGCGTCTGTATGATGAGGGGCACAGCATCAGCGCGAGTGATTATTCCAGTCTACAGATTGCTCGCTGAAGCGTGGACAAAGGTTCGACAGCCACCTCTTCCCATTCATCATGTTTTTGTTGTTTAAATATGCTTGGGACAGTTTCAAACAGCCATTTAGCCCATGTTTTGCATACGAAAAGCCTGTTGTTTCGCTGATATTTTTACACAGTCGATCATTAAGATGTGTTTGATGTGTCAGAAACATGATGAAAATATCATGAGACAGATTGTGAGCACAATGCTTGAGTTCTGGAAATTTCTTTGATGTCTGTGACACCAAACACCTGTCGTTTGTGGACAGTCTTTATGTTTATTCAAGCCTTTATGTCAGGAATTAATCAGTGGATGCACTGAAAATATGTACTTCACTGATGATTGTAAAATATGTGCTTTTTAGTATGCACTGTAGTGAGATGCTGACTACATACTCTCAGAAAAAACAGTACAAAAGCAATCACTGGGATGGTATCTTTTCAAAAGGTACATCTTATTTACCCCTAAAAGGTCAATATTAGCACCTTAAAGGTACATATCAATAACTAAAGTTATTAGTTATTAGAACCTAAATGTACGGTACTAAAGTACTTGGACGATTTTGCGCAAACTATTTCCCAGTACCATTTAATGGGTTGCATTTGCACCGACAGTGTGTACTAAGAAGTGACGTAAGCCGGTCGACAGCGACATCATTTGTGCGTGCCGT